CTTCCTTCCTTCCTTCCTTCCTTCCTTCCTTCCTTCCTTCCTCCCTCCCTCCCTCCCTCCCTCAATTTATGACAGTGTGGGTTAAGCTGAGGGTGTGGGTTGAGCTGTGATACAGCAACTGGTTCAAAGTTACCAAGTGAGCTTTCATTATGGACAGGGGACTTGTCCCTGGACCTCTCCAGTCCTAGACCAATACTTTAGCCCTTATTGAGGGTGGCAAAACATCCAGATGATCATTAGGTGGCAGTAAACAGTTACATGTTCTGCATTTCTCTGCTGCCATCTAGCGATTGTCTGGATTCTTACATATCACACCAGATCTTGGTCATAATGTTCCTTTGATTCTTTTTTTCTTTTTCTTTTGAGGACTACAATGGTTTTGGTGCAATCTACTGCAGCTGCGTGCAGATGCATTTAGGACCCAAAAACAAGAGACACAGAACCATCCCTTCTCCCTCTTTCTGCTATTCCATTTTTTGCTCTTGCTTTTCCTGCCTATCAGGTTGGCTGTGGAAGAGCAAATCACCGATGCCAGTAATCTGCCCTGGTCTCCAGTAAAGAGCTTCTTGTTTCTCCTTCTCCTCTCCCTTGGCTTGTTTTGGCTTTTCCCCACTTTTCTGCTCCCACCCTCCTCCTTTTCCTCTGGACTCTCCTGCTCAAAATGAGGCTGAGTGTGACAACCTCCTTTAAAGTAGCCAAGAGCAAGGATAGTGGACGCTTGCTTCAGGCATCTGCCAGAACTGTTCTCTGGAAATGTTCCTCTAGATTTCTCAACAGCACCATCTAGCAACCCTTCCTTCCTCCTTGAATGCTTTATGCTCCTGGGACTTGCCTCACAAAGGATGATGCCAAAGGAGAAGACATCCACTTTCTCATCATAACTTCTCCCTGCAAGAGGATGACAAAGGACAAAAGAACATATTTAGCTATCAGGCCCAGAGGTCCTAGCCAGCGGTAGACTATTTCTTGGAGTTGGTGGGGTCATCTGGAATTTGGAAAGCAGCTCATTGGCGCTCTCACAAAATGGCTGCCATAAGGACTCATGTGCTGTCATGATAGGGATGGTCTGTCCCAAAGTAGCCATAAATGAAGTTGCCCCTTTCTTTTCCCCCCACTTTATCTTAGTTTTGATGTGCCCAGAAAAAAGGCCAAGCATTGATTGCATTGCAGCCACCCACCAATATATTGTCTAAGAATGCTCCTAGGATCAACGCGAGATCCAAAGGCATTTCTGGAAAGGAAAATGATGCTGGAAGCTGATGCTTTGCTTTTAACAGGCTAAGTTCCCACTGAATTATTTTTTAATTTAAAGTCAGATGGAGTGAGAAGTCTGCCAGCCCCAAGGGACAGTTCTGGAGAAGGTCCTAGGGCAAGCCACCCAAATTACAGCAATGGGATTTTTCGCCCCCAAGAAAACAAGGAACGAAATAGATATGGAAAGATTTCGATAGGATTAACATGTTAAAGGTGCATTAACCTGTACCTTTAACATATGTGAAAATACCCCTCCAACTCTCCAAAAATCAAATAGGGAGGAAAGAATTTGGCCCACTCCTTTCCCTGGAGATGACACCGCATCATTACCATGCCTCAGAGGCCAGGAAACAGGACATCCTGATCACAAAAAGACTGCCCAGATCTGCACTAAGACCCATGCAGGCCCTAGGCATGCTATGGGTCCTGTCTGTGAGGGAGTGCCATGTGGTGGACCCAGGAAAAGAGCCTTTTCTGTCATGGCACCTGCCCTCTGGAACATCATTCCCCCAGAGATCAGACTGGCCCCAACCCTGCTGGCTTTTCGCAAGGCCTTAAAGACCTGGCTTTGCCATTGAGCCTGGAGCCCTGATGTTGTGGGTTTCTTGGTTAGGCTAGCTGGGATGATTATTAGTGTTGTTGTGGGTTGGTTTTTCAGCTGCCATTATGTTGTTTATAATTTTGTTTACTCTTTTTGTTCTGATTCTAATTGTTAGCTACCCAGAGTCATGCACTTGAGATGGACAGCCATATGCATTTAATAAATAAATCATAAATAAATATTTGTAGGCCCTGATTGCAGTGATAATCCAGATGCTTAAGGTTATAAATATAAATGCATATCTTACTCTTTAAAATAAACAATTTAAAATAAAGTCGTAAAATCAAATTGCTGTAAGTATATGCATAATAAAGTAGTACTTAAATATACTTAATTTTAGGACACATGAACTTTGATTTCACAGTTACTTTTCAGATTTTTTTAAACTTAAAGTTTATTGGTAGGCCCCAAACATTTCATAGGCCCTTGGCACTGTTCCTGTTGTGTCTAATGGGCATTGCCTCCCTATTTCCTTCAAAGCAGACCACAGTAGGAAACCAAAGTCATGCATGCTTATACTAGTTTTATTATGAGGTTACAGTAACAGAATCTTGCAAGCCTGAACGTGCTTCTCCCCTCCCTCCCTTTATTTTCATGAGAACTAGGGAGGTTCCTGTTGAGATGCTTTCTCAAATTACATTTCTGCCCTGGACTCAGACTTCTTTTATCTGGCTATTGTCTTGGTTGAGGCTCTTCCTGTGTTCCTCAGGGTTATTCCTTCTTCCCATTACACAGAGATGGCTTCCCAGATAGCTTCCCAAACACGATCCTTGCTTCCCGCAGTTGCTGACCACAATTCAACCAGCCCTGGTGGGCCTCCATCCCAACCCCCCTGCTCCACTCACCATTGATCATCTCGGGAGCCATCCAGTAAGGATTGCCAACCACCGTGTACCGTTTCCTGCGGTCAGGCTTCTTCAGGTTTGCCAGCTGGTTCTTCTCATCCACCATCAGCCGAGCAAGGCCAAAATCAGCCACCACCACACTTTTGTTCTGCACAAGGGACAGAAATAATCCTTTTTTCTTTCTTTTAATTATCCAGTGGATTCAGCACCTACAGTTACAATGCTCTAATGTTATTGGCAGACTAGACAGTATTTAAGAAAGGAGAAAGTGCCATTTTGTGTTGTTCTCAATACCAGCTTCAAACAGATGTGGCTTGTTTTTGAAGCAACACAAATAGCAGCTGAACCTGATTATTTTAAATACTATTTATGTTATAGAATGTTATTTTGAAATGAACTTATTTTATACTCACATACCAATTAATTTATCTATTAATATCATTACATCAAAAGTGTCAATAATTTTTTTTAATTAGCTTTGATTAAATTGGAGGGGTTAATTCAACTGAAATAGACAAAATTCTCATATCTACAGAGTGTAACAACTAATGCTTAATGATCATGTGACAAACTATTATCAGATATTGGAGAGTTCTTGACACTGAGAACTGTGGGTGTACTTGGCTTTTCTTAGAAATATTTGTCTTCGGCATCTCCACTGGTGTAGTAGGTAGTAGTATATCTATAGTCTTTGGGAGTGTAAATGTTCATGAACTTCAGTATTTTTATCTCCTATTTTAAATTTCCATCCTTTCAAAATAGAAAAGTTTTTTGCAAGATGGTACCTGAAACACTAAAGATGACCACTCAATATAGATATAGTCAAGAAAGCATGATCACTGATATACAGTAGTCCTTGTTTAGTGACTGCCTCATTTAGTGACCGTTTGCAGTTATGACAGTGATGAAAAAGTAACTTTACAACCAATCCTTGCCTTTACGACCTTCGCAGGTCTGTAAAGCAAAGGAAAGTCGAAGTAAGATCATGAGCACAGTCGTGGTTTCACTTAGCAACCATTTGCTTAACAACTGAGTTGTTGATCCCAATTGTGATTGCTAAACAAGGACTAGCTGTATCTGATAGTTTTACATGTGTTTTTCTTACATACATACCAATCACACTATTCCCTTCTGGAGTAAGTAAAATTGTGCAAAGCTCAGAAAAGGCATAGGGGATAGTAAGCCAAAAGAATTTCAAAAATGAGATCCAAAAAAAGAGAGGGAAGTAAGTCTAATTAAACTTTCTGAGGACTTCATTAATTTCTCCAGTCATGACTCTCTCTGTCTTCCTGATCCTCTTGACCCCTTCACTTGTCCCATACTGTATTTGTTGTGCCATTCAATCCTTGTTCATTGTCTCTATATGACCAAGCCACCTGAACCTACTTCTTTCACATTGGAACTCACCGTTGCGTTCAGTCCTCAGGCATTCGGGACCCATTTGTTTTTGTTCTTGTTTTACAGTTCTCTATTCCTACTGCTTTCTCCCCACACAGCCAGTTCTCACTTCCACAGTGGGCAGAAGTATAGAAAGCTATTTTCACTTCTTTTGTCAAACATTAATTCCTTGAAACAGAAACTGCTTCTGTAGTCTCTAGTTTTTAGTTTGTAGTGAGAACATACTACTCACTATCTTTCTATCAGCATTTGAACATTTTAAAATTTTTCCATCCATTTTTTTGTTAATAGAGAAGACTGATTTCAGTATTTTATTTATGAGAAACACTAGTCTCTGAGAATCTAAATCCAAGCAAAGTAAAATGACACCTGGAAATGTCATGCAAAAAACCTGTAAAGTTTAACCACTGCTTTATCTAATAAATAATGTAAATATTAAAGTAAATGGCATGTATGTTTATTGTCTAATCCCAACCCCAATGACATTTTTAGTTTTATTTATGAGGCAGGAGTTGTATAATTACTATTTTAGGGGGCTGAAAGTATTGCAAAATTTGAGAATCCTGATATGAAGCAAGGCAACACAAGGGTGAGCAACACCCTGAGTGGGTACCTGGGTTCTCCCAAAACTTGATGACTGAATTAATACATTTTCTAAATTTGTATGATACACCTGAAGCATAAACTAACCAAACAGGCTGGGTTGACAGAACATATTAAGCCTCCAAAGTACAACAACAAAACTAACCACAATGAAATCTAACCAAGCTTAGCATTTGATGCACATACAATCACTACATTTTTAAGTGATCTGGTAGCATGTGCTCATCTTATGTATATCCAGCCACTTTATTTAGCCTTGAGAAAAGCTGAATAAGGAGCAATATAACAGTACTGAATGGATGTCACCCTGAAAGTCCACACCTGTTCTTAATCATTCCAGAGTGCAGAAAATGGAATAATGGGATGGATTCTGATTTAATGTTAGAAAAAGATTTGTTAACAGCAAGAGCAGTTTGACAGTGGAACCAATTATTGAGACAGCAGTGGGTTTTTCTTTACTGGATGTGTTCAAGCAAGACTGGACAGCCATCTATCTGAGATACTTTAATTTGGATTCCAGCACAGGACAGGGAGTTACTCAGTGGCCTAAATCAGGATTTCTCAACGTTGGCTCCTTGGCACTGACTGGGGAATTCTGGGAGTTGAAATCCATACATCTTAAAGTTGCCAAGGTTGAGAAACAATAGTCAAAATGGTTTCTTCCAATTGTATGATCCTGTAATTTTATTTACAATTCCCTCTTTTAGCTTTCAGGAAAATAAACAACAAATCAGTCTTGGATTAGTCAAGGAATGAGTTCCTGCCCCTGAGAAATCTACCTGTTAACTTGTTAAAAATGTAGGAGACAATAGAGGGAACAAACTTGAACTTGGCTACTAGTTCCAAGTTCTCACTTTCTTATTCACACAAACATCTGAAACAAAGCAGAGGTTTGGAACAAAGTACAATCTGAAAACAGAGCCAGGTTTCTATGATCTTGCATCCTAAAATGTCATATATTTCCATGAATCAGAGATTGTTACATTCAAGACCTATAATAATCTTCTTCATTTGTTGTTAAGAGGATGTTCTGAAAAACTAAGGTTACTCTTCATAACTTACCTTCTCAAAATGTGACCAGCAACACTTTCTTCTTGCTTTCAAAATTATTTTTATTTTTTAAAAAGAAACAAACTTAACAAAGCAAATAATACAAATAAAACTTAAATTAATTAATGAATTAAGCATTTGACCAGTGCCAGCTTACTTCTCGCACAAGGCAGTTGTGTGTATTGAGGTCCCTGTGAATGATGTTCATGGAATGGAGATAAGCCTGAAAGAAAGGGATGGGAACAGGATGGTTAGAAATTCTGTTAGAGTTCTTTCATAACTCCTCTCTTTTTAAAAAGGATATTGCTGACCTCACTTTATCCAGGACTGCTAGATGCTCTTACCCTTAATACACTTAATTGTTCCCATTTCACAGGAGGTTGAACTGTGATTTCTAAAATGAAAATTGACCCAACTAGTGTGTAGCATACAGTACGTGAACCCTCCTGCCTCAGTTTGCAGGATTTGCTTCTGGACATCTATAGTTAAGGTCTCAGAACCACACTTTTTAAATAGTGCTCTGGAAAATTTAGGTCAGGAGCAAAGCACAGGAAACATTGTGAGTTAAGTACACAGTTAATTCTAGCAGCAATATGATTTCTCTAGTTTTGCATGTACCAAATCTCCTTCGCCTACCCTTATTCATAAGTGAGTAAAAATGAAACCAACTGAATCAAATTCAGAAAGTTCACACAATCCAGCACTGTGGTTACAAGACTGGCCAGTGAGTTATTCTGGAAAGCTCACAAGTAACTTGCTTTGTTATTTGTACCAAGTGTATGTCGCTTGAAGTCATGGAGGCTTCATTTGGTGAACAGCCTTCATGAATTGCTCACATACTTTTTAAATGCCAGTGAATAAGATAGGAAATTTTAAAACGATTCCCGCAAGAGCCTTTCCTGATGCCCCATAGCAGAGTTTCTCAACCTTAGCAACTTTAAGTTGTGTGGACTTCAACTCCCAGAATCCCCCAGCCAGCATGCTGGCTGGGGAATTCTGGGAGT